CCCAGACAACCCCATAGAGGGACCCCCGAGCACCCCTGGGGAAGTCTAATGCCAGAATTGAATTAGGTATTCCCGAAAACCCCAGAGTATCGATTTTGGAGTCATTTTCAGAAACGCTGTCATTTCCCTTTCCCCCAAATCACCCCCAGACAACCCCACAGAGCCACTCTCGAATGCCCCCGGGGAAATCCAATGCTAGAATTAAATTAAGCATCTCCTAAAACTCCCGAGTAGCGAGTTTGGAGCGCTTCCCATGGACTATGCAATGTCCCCCCAGAATTACCCCTGGGATACCCCCGCAAAACTGCCCCCGAGTAAGTCCAATGCCAGAATTGAATTCGGCATCCTCGAAACCCCCAAGTAACGAGTTTGGAGCGATTTTCATGTACGCTGCCATTTCTCCCCACTTTATCCCCCTTGCACTCCCAAAGAGCCACCCCCGTTCATCCCCGGGTAATTCTGATGCCAGAATCGAGTTCGGAAGCCCCGAAAACCCCAGAGTCTCGATTTCCGAGCGATTTTTCCGAGTTTCCAGTCGTTCCTATAATGGTGCAAGTAATGATGCAATTGGAAAATGCATTTTCCGGCCCAGAGGTAGGGTTGCCAGACGTCACGTTTTTGGCGTGAAAGCCACGCTTTTTGACTTTCCTGCACGCTTTTTATGCAGATTCCACGCTTTAATAGACCAGGTAAAAGACCCTCGTTTGTACGAAAAATAAGTGGAGGACTTTTGTTTTTTAGAAATGATCACAAAATTTGGACCTGATTATATAAAAATGCTCTATCGTCACGGTTGCCACGCTTTTCACTTGTGGCAACCATCCAGAGGGCATTTTTCCAAAAAATGGCTGAACCAGACGATATAGACTTTTTTCCTGGGACCTGCTGTCCCTAAAAATTTCCGCTATTTTTTTTAACTTCTCTGGACTAATTACCGTCAAATGGGACGAATCGGGACTAAGGGGTGAATCGGGACATTCGGGTATTTATTAACATAAGCGGCAATCCTGTCTCGAGGTCAATATTTTCAGCTCGGATAGTAGGTAAAAATCAAAGTAGACATGCTGGCTCTTGCATATATACTTGCAACATCTTAGTTGGATAAGGATAAATAGGGAGAAAAACAAGTGCCTTTAAATCAGTTTTTATTGCTTTAAAAACTTTATGTGGAAACCCCCTAAGGAATGAAGGTATGGGTCTGAAATTTTTATAGGTCATAGTTTAAAGTGTTTTATAAACACTAAAAAATCCATTTGAAAAAAAAAAATGGGAGATACGATTTTTTAAGGGTGAATCGGGACAATGGTCCGATAATACAAAAAAGTACCTGGAAGTAGAGTCTATCAAAACTATAGTGAACAAACGTTACGAACGGCCCTGACACAAATTCGACGGGGTCAGATAGGTCTACGAGATGCCTCGCGAGTTTTTGGTATTCCAAAATCAACACTATCAAGGCATAAAAGAGGTCCAGTAAAAAAGCAAGGAGGGCAGACCATCCTGACACAAGAAGAAGGACGACATTTGGTTTAGTTGATAGTATTAGCAGGGGAATGGGGTTATCCTTTGGATAAACTGGATCTTCGTTATGCTGTCAAGGGTTACTGGGACAGAAAAGGCGTAAAAGTAAACAAATTCCAAAATAATATTCCAGGATTGGACTGGGTAAATGCTTTTTTATCGCGACATAAGAATGACCTTTCACAGAGGTTGTGTGAAAATATAAAGAGGGTCCGTGCAGGTGTCTCGCATCAAATAGTACATTCATATTTTGTCAATTTGCCAACTCTATTAGAAAATGAAAAAGCCAACTCCATTGTCAACTATGACGTTGCTTTGTTGATGACCCTGGACGAAAAAAGTGATAGTAAGACGAAAAACTCGACATCCTGAATGCATCATTGATTCAGTAAAAAGCTCCACATCGGTCATGTTTGCAGGAAGTGGTGGTGGTATTTTATTACCACCATTTATTGTCTATAAAAGTGAGCACATCTATGATACTTGGATGTCAAATGGGCCAAAAAGCGCACGCTACGGTAGAAACTCCAGTGGTTGGTTCGACCAGCCTCTCTTTGAAAACTGGTTTGAAAATATTGCCTTTACCTATTTCAAAAAACAACCTGTTCTAAGAATTTTAATTGGTGGTAATCTTTGTAGTCACCTTTCTTATAAGGTCATTCAACTCGACGAAAATGACATAAAATTTGGTTTTTTACCTCCTTCATCGACCCATCTGACCCAACCGTTGGATGTCCTTTGAAAAAAGCTTGGCGACGTTTGCTGGAAGATTGAAAGAAAAAATATTTTCCATCATTGCTAAAAAACATTTGATAATTTGGAAACGATGACTGAAAACATTAGAAAGGGCTTATTCCACTTGATAGAAATCAAGTTTTAAAGCTACTACCAAATCCATAGATGAACATCACGATCCCAACCATTAGTCCGATTTGCTAAATGACACCAGGAATGCGTGTAAACAAACCAACAGTGTGACGAAAAAGACAAAGGTTTCCGTTGAACCAGGAAAAAGCGTGTAAAAAGAAAAATTTGCTCAAGCTGGCCCATCATCACCAAGGATTGAGACTGCGGTCGAAGACGACTTTGATGAGCTTGATGTTGAGGTTTTAGATTCTTTATCATCTTCTGATGACGAAGAAGCTGACTTGGTTTTGGAAAATTTAAAAAAAGATGATTTTGTTGAGATTCAGTATGAAACAGATAAACAAGACAAATATTTTATTGGCCTTATCTAAAACGTAGTACATGTTGAGTTAATCACCGTTAAGTTTCTTCGCCCCAATAGAAAAAAAAAAAGAAAATTGTTTCATTTTCCCCCTCGTTGATGATGTCTGCTTAATAAACAACGAACAAATTAAAAAATTGTTAGCACAGCCGACAGTTTTGCGAGGAGGTGGCTACGAGTTTACCAAGAAGGATAGCAAAAGAGCATACTCAAATCAATAAAAAGTTCCTACCTCCCAATTTTTTTCTGTAAATGTGATTTTTTGTTCCTAAGAGTGTTTTCTTAGGTTTAAAAATGTTTTTTTAAGATTTTTTTGTTTTTGAAAGTTTTTTCTTAAGTTTAAAAATGTTTCGTTACATGGGTTAAGATTTTTCTTTAGTGTATGTTAAATAAACGCTGATTTCATGTTTTTTTTTTGTGTCATCGGCAACAACTGCTATGGTTATTAGCCTCGTGTTCTGTGTAGGCTTTGTTACTGTTTTCCAGCGCCAATTTAGGAACAGCACTGTTAATTAGAACCCAACAGTGAATGGTCGAGTGGGGAATCCTACCAAGGCATCAGAATTAATTTTAAATAATTAAATTAAATGAAAAAATCCCGGCCAACGGTGGAATTCGATCCTGAGACCTTCCGATCTCAAAGTCATGACTCTTACCACTGAGCCAACCCACCCCCCTGATTTCATGTTATTTTTGTCATTTTTATCCCGCTTTTTTTTGCAACTTTTTAAAAAATATATTTTTTGTCCCGACACGTCCCATAGCTAGGGTGTATCGGTCATTTCCATCAAAATAAATGGGGTGTCCCGATTGAACCTATTTGCGGGGCGAATCGGGACGCCTAAATTTTTTTTTAAATCACCCGTCAAAGTGACAGGTGTGAATGATATGTTGTTTTGAAGCTCTAACCGGGACCCAACTTTTGGCAATTACTTGCAGCCTCTATATCATTTAAAACAAACGTTATTTAGAAAAATATGTCAAAACTGTCCCAATTTGCCCCATTTGACGGTATTTCATAAAATTATAGCTACTGGGTGCCACATAATCCAAACTGGTTTTGCGAGAATAAAATTCAACGCCCTCAGAAAGTCAATATTTGGACAGGAATTGTTGAAAATCGAAATATTTACAAATATATCGCTCATTTTCTGCAAGAACGTCATAAATCAAAAATTGTAATTTTTGAGTTATTGGCACAATAGAGATCGTAATTAAAGCACTATAATCTGGTAAAGTGTCACAGTTGAACTTTTTATAATTCCCATTACATGTCACTTGAATACTACAATTTCAATATCGCTTCTCGGATATTTAAAAATGTTAAATTTTGGATTTTGTCTATATTTTTGCTATATTTTTACTCAAGTAGACCAAATTTCTATTGTATTACTTTCCTCGCTCATTTGCGAAAATACCAACACAACTCAAAAAAACTTTATTTCATTGATTATGTTAAATCAATGAAATAAAGTTTTTTAAACTTGGAAAATGTCAATTGTAGTGGCGCTGCGCGCCGTCAAGCGAATACCACCATAACTACGGAAGTGTCGTTGTTTCTGTATAAAGAACATACCATTTCAATTTTGTTGATGAAATAATTTTTGAATTACGCCGGTATTCTCGAAAATTAGCATTCTGTAAAAACAACATTTTTGTGTTATGACGTTCTTGAAGCAAATAAGCAATATATTAAAAGATACAATTTTTAGAGTTTAAAAACCTAATCAATATTAATGTCAACTTCTTAGTAACTGGGATTTTTTAAGGATGAGCGGTGCCTAACACATTATTTAAGGGTTCAACCGCAACAAATTATTAGTTCAGAAATTGCTCAACATTTTTCCTAGCGCTGATAGGTATTAGCAAGACGGATCAGAACCATATTATACACAACCGGTGCGTGAGTTCTTTAATTATACTTTTCATAATTGGTGGAAATACTGATGAGAAGCCGGGCATGGCCTGCCAAGATCTCCACACTTTACAACTGTAAATTTAATTTTATGGAGCTATGTAAAAACCAGACAATCTAAAGAGAATAAGAGAATGTAGCACATATTTCCATTAATCTGTAATTGCTGTAGTAATTTCTAATAGTATCCTGACAAATTTAAACACACCCCCGTATAAGTAATTTTCTACAATTTTATCTAAATCCATTTTTCAAGAACATTTAGCCTGTTTATATTGGAACATGTATCACTTTGAAAAAGCCTGTTAATAGAATATAAAAATAAACCGTATTTACCTGTTCTGCATGATCAGGAATCCTGACTGGCAACCCTCCCACGACCATATACGCGTCTCCGATTGTTTCCACTTTGTAAACGTTATACGCATTAATGGTTGCATCGAAACACGTATACAGATCGTTAAGGAGATCGACTACCTGGAACGGAGTGGAATGAGCAGATATCGTAGTGAAGCCGACGATGTCTGAAAAGTATATCGTCACTTCCTCGAATTCTTCTGGATCCACGGGCATTCCAAGCTTTAATTTTTCTGCGACGTAACTGTAAAGAATAATAACAAGATTTTTAATGCAAAAGGACTTAACATTTAAAATGAAATCTGGCGTAATTTATATAGAAATACGTTATACGTTCACTGGTATAGCTGGAGCAAGAAATAAAGAATAGCAGTCTGAATAAATCTGCATTGGGTATTTAATCCTTTCAATAACGACTTTTTGTGTTAAGGATTAAAATTCTACATAATACTTGGTTCTTTTAAAGATTTTTAACATCTAAAAAAATTATCTCTTTCATTTTTAGAGAATAAAAATGTTCCCTACAGAGGATATTACAACGTATTATTTATTTTTTGCAGGGTAATAATCAGAGAGTCGGAATATAATATCATATATTTAGTTAGTAATAATTAGTTAAGTATAGTAAGACAAAAAACAATTTTGATTTTTCTTGATACACAAATGAACCTTACAAATTCATCTTCATCTTCTTTTTTTGGATCCTGGAGGGATTTAAAATCTTTTAGCTAGAGGAGGCTTCTTCTAGTGCATGAAACTACCCTTTCTTAATCAATGAATAATTACCAATGGATAATTTGATAGTGAATGACAACGTCCACTGTAGATACACACTGCACTGGATTAAAAACGAGATAATTCATATTCCTAAACTATCACAGTCGCTAACAAGCTTCAAACTAACACTTGCTTAGCGGTCTCGTATGGTATACAGGCAGTGAACAAGTGGATAACCACAAAACACCAAATTCCCTGGCAACAGATAAGAGGGCACAGAATCAGTAAGCTCATGCTAAGGGGACCAAACCCACGCATGGTTAATGAGGCACTATAACTCGCAAGGCCTCAGATATCCACCATTGTGGGATTACTAACGGGACACTGCTTGCTGAAACACCTTCATGTGATGGGATTACACAATGATCCCACTACGTGTAGACTCTGCATGAGAGAGGAAGAAATCTCATACTATGTGATCTTCAAATGCGAAGCTCTTACTAGGCGACGTTTCATCCTTTTCGGTCTAGAACCGGAAAGAACGCCCCAGGAACACTTGGTAGAGAACCTATTAAAACTAACCAAAGACACAGGACTATTCCAAAGATAGTACCTGAATACGGAGAAAGCAGGGGAATACAATAGACCCAAGAGGCCGCAGTGTTCTGGGCCAAACCTAACCCTATCTGCTTACAACCGATAAAGATAAAGATAAAGATAAAAACACTTGAAAAATAGAATAAACAATATAAACATGGACAAGGGGGGTAGCCATGTGTGAGTTGAGGTAATTTTAAGGTGAAAGGTGAGAAAAAGTCCTTTATATCTCACAAGGAAAGTCAATGTTTAATTGTTTAACAAAACATTGAGTGCGACCGGTTTCGAAGTGTCATCACTTCATCTTCAGGCTCGCCTAGTGGAAAGGAGAATATGTGGTGTAAGGTGTGTTAACTTGGAAATAAAACGATATATAAAATAATAAAAAAGAGAAAACTCACCATACTCTCTACTTAGAGAGGCTATTAAACGTTCCTCTGTCTACGGAAAACTTTAATAAGGAACTAAATATAATTAAAACTATTGCTATAGATCACAACTTTGAACTAGATATTATTGATAAAATGCTAACACATAAACAAAATAAAATTCAACAAAATTTAGTTTATATTAACAATCCTAATATGGTACATGAACTAACCACCAGTAAGAAATACATTTCTCTTACCTTTATTGGAAAAGCATCCTATAAAGTGGCTAGCTTACTCAAAGACCACTTTAAAGTATCTTTCAAAACCCCCTCTTCATTACATAAGTTATTTGTTCATAATAAAGATAAATTAGATCCCTTTGACTTATCTGGAATTTATAAATTAACTTGTAAATCTTGCCATTCTTTCTATGTGGGACGCACATTTCGAAATTTCAAGATCCGTTTAAAAGAACATTTACGTTGTCTTAACCAAAATACAACAGGTTTTTCACATTTTGCCAACCACCTACTGGATTCAAATCACGACTTCGATTCAACTGAAGGTTTCGAAATCCTTCATAGTTCCTACAATAGATTTACTCTTAATAGCTTCGAAAACCTCGAGATATTGAGACATTTAAAATTAAATCCTGTTGGTTGCTTAAATGCCCAGATATTGTCAGAAACTCCTCCTGTTTTCTCAACACTAATCTAAATTTATCGTTCTAACTTCCTTTTTAACCTCCCCCCTTTATTTCTATTCACATATCTTCTTGCAAGGGGTACATTTCAGTAAGTAATTTTTATATTTTTTATATTTTTCCCATAAGAAACCAACGAGCACGTGTAAAGATTAGGTTAGATTGTCTGATTTCCACATGCGTCATTTTCTTCTTTTATTCTTCAGTTGCTTCACAACAGTTAACCCAGTCGTTTCTTCTTCTTTCTTCTTCCTACAACATCACATACACTTGGTGATTGGTTCATGGCCCAAATCTTATATAATAGATAATAAATAATTCTTCACTCATAGTTTACATCTTATTAACTATACCCTGTCATAAGTTTACCCAAGAATTTTTTCGTTATAATACTTACCACCACCTGTAGAGGCCTTAACTTGACAGGTCTCCTTTCAAAAAATGTTAGTTTTTTAAAAAACAACAATGTTTAAAATAGGCCTTATCTTTTAATCTGTTTAGTGTATGTGATTTGTTTTTGTATAGTCTTGAATATTTTAAATTTTTACTATAATTGACTAATATTTGTTTTTTCAAATATTTTTAAGTTTTTATTACGTGTAAATCGGTTCATTTTACAATTTATTTCAACCCAAAATTGATGAAACTTGTTTTTGTAGTATTCCCTAGTGGATGGAGAGTATGGTGAGTTTTCTCTTTTTTATTATTTTATATATCGTTTTGTTTCCAAGTTAACACACCTTACACCACATATTCTCCTTTCCACTAGGCGAGCCTGAAGATGAAGTGATGACACTTCGAAACCGGTCGCACTCAATGTTTTGTTAAACAATTAAACATTGACTTTCCTTGTGAGATATAAAGGACTTTTTCTCACCCTTCACCTTAAAAATATAAACATGTCAACGATAAAATATATTTAATGGAAATTAGGAATAATTACAAAGAAAAACAAATTAAAAGAAACTAATTTTACTAAGTTTACTGAAAATGGGCTTAAATAAAAAAGCTGAGCTTCAAAGAGAGACAATTTTGAAACTCATTGAGTTACCTTAAATACTTAATACTGTTAATTTAAAAATATAATTTTGAAACAAAATATATTTTATTTTCATTGTCCAATGTTGACTTTACCCTATTACAAATAACTTTCCCCTATTTAAATTATTAGCAATATTTGTCTAATCTTTACTTAAATGTCCACACCAGCACTCTACTGTCCAGAGTAAACTACACGTTTTCCATTTAAAAAGCATTGGTGTCCAAGATTATATGTCTCCAGGCGTTAGGCCTAAGCCACCCCACCCCTCTTTCTTTATCTTCTCTTAGGCCATCCTCCAGTTCTTCTTGTCTTCTGGCATTAGGTTGGATGGCTTACGGTCACTGCACTGGTTATTTGCCCCCACTCCCCCCCCCCCCCCCCACCGCCATCATGAGGTAACAGCTGGCGGGTTAGATCGCTGAGTAATTCCCTCACACTCCCCCATTTTCCCCACCACTGCGCAGGATTTGGAATACGATAGCCTCCATATATTGGATCGCTTAGCCGTGTCGCAAGCCGAGTCGCACCACTGACAGGTGGCGCCATGACATAACGACTCTTGACTCCTGTTAGGTTAGGCTGGCAATACTGTTGACAGTTGGCAACATTGTTGATAGATGACACGACAATTGACAGCTGTCATTATTCGAACTTTGACTCGTGACCTTGAAAGCGACAAAAATTGCCAGAATGAACCTTAGCAATTTCCCATGTTAATTTACATAAGGAATGGCACCGAATGAACATAGCCCCTTTACTATTTTATTTGTTTAATGTTCGATTTATTTTATTATTAAAACGAAAAATTAGTAAACGAATTAGATTATGGTGTATTTATAAATATTTGGTACGACTCTGTTTCTCTAATTTCAACCATCTGGAATGGATACAGCTCTTAGGGACAAAAACAATTGGATATAAGACTGTGGTAGGTACTGGGATTGGAATATTTTCCAAAAATCCAGACACCAGCTTTAGCTACATAATAACCAAACATACTTTAGTATTTAAAGCAGATATTTAAGCAATTTTGCAATGTCTCTACAAGAACAAATACCGAAAACCAGTATATCCGTAACATGTCAGACAGTAAAGAGGTCCTTAAGGACTAAATCACGGCTATGGGGCTACATAAAATTACATTGGCATGTTGGATCATAGAGAGACCAAAGGCAACAAAAAGACAAGACAGGAGTATCAAAAACTACGTCGAGAAAACGTTTAACATAATTAAAGTTGTCACTTAAACGTTTTAACAACTTTGTTGCCACCTCCAAAATGTTTAGGTAAACGTTGTAACAACTTCCTAGTTTAACTAAAGACATGATCAACGTTGTCCGGTGGTTTGGAGTCTATCTTTTCATAAATGATTAATTTCTACACCAAGTACAATGTTAATTTTAGTGTATTATGTGGTTATAGTCGCCAAAATGCTACTTGGACTGTCACTGGGAAAAAATTGCAAACGTAGCACATGGAAAAATCTTCATAGACCATGTTCGAGCTAAATATGCTTGTTAAGTGTTCCTCCCCACGCAATTAGTCTATGGAATACGATTTGCAACTGGTTATTGTTAATTTATTTGATACTTTTTAAATTTAAAGAATTTACATCGTATTTATTAAACACAATTACCATGTATGTCCAATTTCATGTAGGTAAATATCTATACATCTCCAGCTACTTAACTTTTTCATATAAAATCACTTTTAAATTTTCTATTTTTTTACTATCCATTTTTTATATACGCTAGCTTAAATCGACTTATTTTCGACCGCAGAAATTGTGGTTAAAATAACTGTCTTTTTTTTTA